TATTTCTCTTTCTTTTCATTACGACTGAACAAGGATCTCAATATGTTACTATTTATTAACTCATTTTCTTCACCGTAGGTATCGCAACAAATCAATTACGCCAAGGGGATGCATGAGGAACGAAGTTTGACGTTGTCATCATCAGATAATATGTTAGACGACGTACAATACTATAAGTAATCGACTGTGCGATTAGAGTTCGATCCTACTTCTGACGTGTTTCCCGGACGTACTCTCTAGTCAAATTTTTAACCGTATCGCGTAGAATGCACGAGAATCTATAATGCCTTAGTTACGACGCTTAACGTTAAGTTTACAAGAAGACTGATATGAATTTTCATAAAAGTAACTGTTTGCCACAAGGCATAAAAATTATTCGAGTGTAATCAAATTCTAATTTTGCGTCTTGCAACTGTGGTACAGATGGCATAGAAATTTTTGATACGGATCGATAAAGTGTAAAAATGTAAAATAATCATAGAATCAATTTTTTTAATAATGTACATATGCCAGTTTATAATGCGCGTGCAGGATATTCCAGAATCACCGTTCTCGATGAAGCTGTCTCGATAGTAAATCTTTAAAAAAAAAGGGGAAATTATTTATTTCTGTAATAAAGCTATGTATTTTATTATGCTCCTAGTTTTAATTGTAATTAGATCGGTGCGTCGATTTCAAAGATAGACTTTTCTTCTATTTTTGGCGTCTATAACTAGGATGCGGTGATTTTGGGACACGTTGTATCTATGTACATATATGTATTAAAATTAATGAATTGTGGATTATTTATTCACTACAGGATGACCTACTTAACGCAATACTTAGAACCAAAGCTTTTAGCATGCATAGTGTACATTTAGTACAAGTATCGTAGCAGGTGTTCAATCTTTTTTTTATATACATATACATTTTTAGTAACACAGTTTTTAGATTTTTTTTCTGTTTTAATTGTTCGCACATTTTATTTTAAAGTATCTTAAATGTGCTACTTTGTACAGAACAACCCTTTGTGTATGTACAAACACGGAGCGTAACAAAATTATATGTAAATTCTGTACAAATAGATTTAAGTCAGCTATATTTAAGTACTTTTGTAAAGCTGGCGTACGAGATGCGAAATAATATGTTTGTAATATATATCATGTTGATACTTGTTAAGCGAATTAATAAATGTTACAAGTATGACAATGAGTCGGGATACGAAAGGGCTTTTACATTCTATATTCCAAGATACTATAATTATTACAAAATAAATTAAAATAATGACAGAAATTAATTTTTGGATTTAATATAAAAAAGTAAATTCTAAAGTATACGTATAGCATAAATATAATAAAACAATCGTCAATCAGAAAAAATATAACAATTACTTTGATATCGAAACTTCAGCTTCTCGCCGCGTGAGGTCACTGAAACCAAATGTCATCCTCGGAATTCGGATTCGATCGAATACGTTTATGTGGAACTTTGGAAAGTCGTACCTCAGATCGCTTCCGTCATTGCACTGCATTGCACGCTCATACCGGTGTAATTTTTTGACTCCAATAAATGTAACGAGAATCTTTTGTTGACGAACAGCTCGGAGACATGGAAGAAACATGTCTGGAAGAGGGACCTGCGGTAAATTTCGAAAGAGCCACCCTAGAAATCGCTAATACCGACCGTGAGTTTCGCCGTCAATTTTTGTTAATTTTTGATTCTACAATAGAATAAGGCGATAAGGTAAATTCGTAGTTGAGTCTACTACAGACATTTCTTTGATTTCAGCTATTAGACCGTCGACGGAGAGTGCGGACAACGCATCGAATCAAAATTCGGCCTCGAGAAATGTGTGCAACGTGCCATTCAAGCATATAGATGTTCATACATTTTTCACTGACAGGAACGAAGTCGTGGAAAGAGCGATAAGCGACTGTACTGAGAAATTGATAAAGCAGAACGATGACGAACTCGTCGGAAGTTGGCTTCTGACGGAGTACGTACTATCTATGTAAATTGAGCTGTGTTCTTTGTTTTGTAATTTTGCGACAGAAAAATTTATTTGTTTTAAGGATAAGTCTATGGGATACGGAAAAGGAAAGACTCGTATTATTAGCGACGAAAGCCCTTTACTCTGTAAAATACGACTTTATTTCTTTAAAGATACTTGACTTTAATCGATTACCCATATTGCTGTTTGATACAATAGTTACGGGAGATATAATTTATCCATCTTCGTCTCTTGCACCGTAAGTACTTTGATGTCATAAATAATTTGTGTACAAACAATTTATGAAGTAAACATAAGTTTACAATCTCTAGCTTAAATGATATTTTTAATATCCCCTTTTCCATTGAGATTTATAACGAGGAATACAGCAAAAATATATGTTTCATATGAGATAAAGATTACAGCTTCTGTGTTCTTGTCTGGTGCGTGTCATTCATATTGATCTAATATATTCTAGACGATTAAATGGATTAGCGGAAGGTGTGTCGTCTGTAATTCATTGTGCAGTGCGTCAGGAATGGTCGTCTATTGCAGGTTGCTCCAATCTTACTCAATTTGAGCCTAGGTATATAGCTTCGTTGTCTATTAGCACTTATTTCTCATTTTGTTTCATCGTGTGGATTTGTCTTTTATGTATTCATTTTTACCGCCTCTTTATTGTATCATATCTATGTTAACAAACATTTGTTGTTATAGTATGCTTTGTATGTATTTACATTATGTGTATTATTTTTACATTATATGTAGTAATCTTTATGAAAATTTTTATGTTAATTTTATACCTCATGTTGCAAAAGCTGGAATATTGTAAAAAAAGTATACATGTAAAAAATTTTATGTATATATATTGAAGTATGTGGAAAAAAGATTTTTAATTTTTCAGAAAACGTCATATGTCGGGAATAAGACTTATGTGGAACAGAGGACAACCCTTGACTCTTATAAAAAAGTGGAATCCGTTTGCGAGAAATATACCGTGGCTTACATATGCTAGTCATCCATTGTTCTGGTACAAAGGTAAATGTTAAAATCCAATATAAATACAAGAGATTATAAGTGACATTGTTGTATAAAAGTGCTTTATTATGTGTCCTGTTACTAATAAAAATTGTGATACTAACAAGATATCATTTTAGATGGAACCGAGATCGTTAAAACGAGATTCGACATAGAAGCCTTTAATACTACGCTCAAAAGTTTACTACCTCGTGAAAGCAACGTTGTTAATATGCCGATCATTATAGAGAATTATTGCAGTCTTGGTGCCTTAGTGCACAATAGAAATGGCTTAGGTTTCTTTAAAGTGCGTGGCAAAATCAGTTTCTAATTTCACTGATCTCATAGAATTGCAAACGTTGCAAGATATTTCTTTGAGTTTGATACTTTTCATCGCCTTTAGAATTTTTTTCCTACTACATCACACATGTGGTTTTAATTTTTTGTACAGTATTATTATAGATTTAATATATTGCAACATAATCTACGATAAATAAATATATATATATATATATATATTAATAATTAATAATAATTAATATTATTAATGTATTATATACATATATATAAATATTATATTATATATATTAAAATTAAGTGTATTACAATATATATTTTTAGAATTGTTTAATTATTTTCATAAAAATGATATATCCAACAGTAAAGTCTATTAAACATTTTAATTAACTAAATGCTGCATATTTTTTGCAGTGTCATAAATTATATATTTATATAATTGTAAAAATACATACATTTATACATGTATGTATAATATATATAATTATTAAATTATACGTATATATATATATATATATATATACATATTTCCTGTTATATACTTACACTGTGCTAAATTATTTCATACAAGAAAGTACGAAAGTTTACCAAATTTATTCAATTTATAATAAAATTTTAAAATATTTCATATTAAAGACTTACATTTTACTCTTGGTACTTAAATTACTAGCATGTGCAGAAAGATTTAGAAATAAAGCATTTATTGTGTTTTCTTATTGTAGAATTATGTAATGTACTTGTATATGTGTACAATGCTCTATGTCTATTTCTGAGTTAACAATAAATGAGAAATGTTGAATATATTTAGCAACTTTGTAATTTAGAAAATGTCACAAGTATAGGAACCATATATAATATTGAGCAACCAAGATTTTGTGGAGTTCTATCCATAAATATCTTTTCATTAATTTTCCCACTGTTACAATATATTATTTTTGTTATTATATTATACATGTTACAAAAAAAATTGCTTTATACGAAAGTTTATTCATGGATTTGTCCTATATATTTTGTGAATTTGAAATCACAAATCATCAGCTGATTTATATCAGATTAGGCTAGGTTGTATTAAGTTTAGGTTAGGATGTTGAGCCAACAGATGTCTTGTTTATGTCACCTGTTGATTCAACACGGCTGCGAATGTGTCATTATTTTTCTAAGTCGCCATATGTTACACACTCGGCTTTTACTTTTTAATACTTTTCCTGGTTGTTTATATAACTGGATATCACAAATTTAAACTGATAGTGATTGCAAATATAAAAAATTATCTATGAGTTTTTAGGTATAAACTTGCTTTGACGTATAGAATATCAATCTATAATGTAATATTATCGATGATTCTATGATGATTTCATTCTGTTCTTATATTATCAACACATAAATATGTGAATTGCATGCCACAGGTAATGTTCACTATATTGGTAATAATTGAAATAATCATTAAGTTAGATATATATTTGATATGTAAATTAATTATGTTGTATGTTTGCAGTTTTGTCGGAATAAGTTAACAAACTTTACAAACGATATGGAAAATAAAAAATAAGACTCAAAGAAAGATGATACATACAATGTCTATAAAAGATACGTGCAATATCTGATCTTAATGAGATAAGTGAGTGCAATGAAAGTCAAACTAATGACTGAAGGCACGATGGATTATTGTATAGATTAGATGTAGCATAAATTCTACTTGATGTTAGATTACCTGCCATTGGTTCCGACAGAATTGGACGATTTTATCGTTTTTTTATTGTGATAACACAAAATGCGTTTACGATTTTTAAAACAGAAATCGGTATTTCTGATTGGTTTCGGGATTGGCTTTGTTATTCCGTTATTATTTGTTTTATTAAGAAATATATTTGTGATTGATTCTATCGTTGATCAAGATCCATCATTGTGGCAACCTGAATACTACCTGAATAAAAAACTTCATCACGAAGAGATTATTTTACAGTTTTGGAAAAAGGTGAATGAGACAACAGATGTTAACAGTATTACATATCATACTTGGTTAGCAACACAAAAGTTGAAATTATACCAAATTGATTTGGATGAGTACTTGTATGGTCGACAAGAAAGAGATGACAAAAAAAAGAAACATACAGAATGGCACTGGTTAAAAAAACAAGTGTCTATCACATGTGTGATTTTCGTGGAAACGCTCAAGCTTGGAAAATCAATCAAGGCTACTTGGGGCAAACACTGTAATAATGTATATTTCTTTGGACATCGCTTGAAGAATGCAGAATTGCCTATTATTGATGTAAATATAAAAATTGTGTCTTCTTGGCAACTGTTGTGCGAAGCTATGAATTATATTTGGAACCATCAAGTAGACAAACTACAGTGGATTATATTTGTGAAGGACAATACTATAATTATACCAGAAAATTTGCGCTATATGGTTGCTTCACTGAATTATACACACGACTATTATTTGGGTCATTCAGTGATTCTGTGGGGTCAGGCTTATAATGTTGCTCAATCCGGATATGTTCTTAGCAGAGGAGCACTGAATAAAGTAGTGCAAATGTTCAATAGTACGGAAAAATGTATTAAGGGAGGAAAGTATTGGAAGAAGGAAGATTATTATCTCGGTAAACAACATGATGTCATATAACATTAAAATTTATTATATGATAAATTTTGATTGATTATTTATATCTATGGTATTGATTTTCTATCTTATTTTTACAGGAAAACATCTGTCGTCTTTAGGCATACATCCGTCTGATACCAGAGATCAGTACTTAAGAGGTACTTTCCATGGTTACTCTTTACAACATCTTTTATGGGGTGTTGTGAAACCAGACAGCTATTTCACACGTGCTGTATATCCGATAAAAGGAGAATGCTGCTCGCCGATATCCGTGACTTTCAGCGTTAGTGAATCCAATAAAATGCACATGCTAAATTATTTGTTGTATCAATTGCATGTATTAAACAGCGAAAGCCGATTTGGTAATGTTTCTGCTAAAGTTCGAGTACGTGAAGAAGATGTGAGTTTTAATACAATTAACGTTGTTTATTAACTTATTTCTTATATTAACAATCCTTAAAAGAAATTTGTCGGATGTTAATCGGTTATATGTATATAACCATAATATAAATAAATTTAAATCTCTTTTAATAAGTATGACGCAATAAAGAAGTGTCATGATAATAACCGTAATTTTATATCGTAGTTTATATTCCAGGTTTGGAAAGTTGCACTGCAAGAAGAATTCAACATCACGCATTTAAGTGATATATCCAGTGATGCTTATTACGAAATATGGCATTCGAGATATTCTGAACCAGGGCAGTTAAAAATTGCTCAAAATTATCGGACACCGATCCCGCTAAATTGTTTACTAACGAATTACAAAGAGGAAAAGTCATCAGCGCACAATTGTAGGGCTAAAAGTGTCAACAGTACAAAAAACTGAATGAGTTATTTATTAGAATGCTAGTTTGTTATAGTTATCAAAAAAGTGTGTACACAAAAGTTCAAGAGTGTGAATATTTGTGATATTCCCTGTTTGTATATATGATTACATAAAATGATATAACTGTGGCAAATAAGTATGTTAATAAAAATAACATTGATATACTCCATTTTCAATTTACTACGTGAGCAAAAAAAAAGAATGCCAATAAAAATCAAGCTGAAAGTTGCATTTAACATCGTCCACTGTAATATACAATTAATCGGCTTATACGTTCTGGGTAATTTATTAATCGGAAATGGTTGATAAAACTATTTCCCTTGTTATGCTAAGTACATTTTATCGAGCTAATTAGAAGCTCATTAACGTTTAAAACGAAAGCGATAAGTTAATCATTTCTAAAACATTTTCACAGAAGTTTGCCTATCGCAACTCTTAAACGATTAATAATTGATATAAAAGTAATTATACACGGTATATTACTTGAAAGTAAGATGTATTTTCTTTTAACTTTAATTCATGTTACATTTATTACTATTTTGAATAGAGCCTCAAATCTACATAGAACACGTAGATTTGAAGAGCTAAAGAAAACATCCATGGAAGAAAGAAATTTTGAAGACAATTAAAATTTTTATAAATATAGTTATTTAATATTTTTTATAATACGCATTTCTTTGTATTGTATTACGGACATGATACGTGATTATTTTTACATATAAATATTTCGTTTGTACCGTCTGATTCGCGATCGACTGACCCATATTTTTCATCTCTCGTTTATCAAATGTAATTTGAGCTTATCACTTATCCGTTTCCTTCTAGAGGTAGATATATAAAAGGGCTGTACTCTAATTTGCGCATTTTACAAGTGTTACTTAGTTCACGCGTTTTGTCCAAGATACAAATGTAAAACTTTTTCTGGCACAAAATTACATCGTGCAGGTACCATGGTGCCGTTGCAGATACTTGGACGTTTATTCGTGCTGATTATTGTTGCAAGCAATATAAGACAAGGAAATGGATATTCGGAGGATATGAACGCGCAAGAAGTAAATGAGTTAGTACATTATACATATTTCTATTATAGAAAATTTTTCTTTATGATGTCACTAAAATAACTGCATTTTATTTTTCTTAAAGAATAAAAAAATTATACGAATTATTAAAAAATCCTATCTCTATACATTTTTCTCGTGTATATTAGGGAGGAGGATATGTTAAAAGATGCGCCAGATTCAGCGATCGGAGGTTCCTATAATGTTAAAAGCAGCAAAGGAGGAAGACGCGTATTTGCAGGGGGTTGTACCCGTAGACCGAGCGCGCCTGTGAACGGCAAAATAAAATGTTCTCTGGACAGGTATTTAGAAGCACTGAAAAATTCAAATAAAGATATCAATATTAATATCAAAATATTATGATATTATCTATATTAATATACGTCTAAATTATTTAAATTGATAAGTTAATTCACATATTTTTGCGGTATTAGATATTTGCAATCAAAATTTTTAAGTTAGTAAAATTATAAGATATTAAATTTTATAAACGAAAATGCGCTACAATAAAACGCTAAACAAATATGCTAGATGTAACAATTCTTTGTGAATAGTGGTTGTACCGCAAGTTGTGTGCCGGACTATAAATTTCCGAACGGCGCGTTTCAACTAACGATTACCTGCGTCGATAAGGAATGGCACATTGGAGGAACCGAGTGGAACTCGGTACCACATTGTGAACGTACGTAGAAAAAGTAAATCTAAATTCAATTTCTATTCGATAAAAAAGATCAAGAGACGATAAGATATCTTCGATGCGATCTAAATCACACATCTTTCATAGCGATCTGCATGCCGGAATGTCAAAATAATGGAATATGCGTTGCGCCTCATCATTGCGACTGTCCCAAACACTTTACTGGTCCGCAGTGCCAATTCGAAGATAAACCGTGTCTAAATTATTCTCCACCCGTACACAATTCTTATAAAAGATGTAATGCGAAGTGAGTATAACGTTTGTAGATTATATTTTTACAAGTTCTACGAGAAAAAAATTTTAATTTTTTTAAATTCTTTAAGAACATGCACTATATCTTGTATGGAGCGTTTTACTTTTCCCGACGGTTCATCCGTCGCTAATTTAATCTGTAAGAACGGGAGTTGGATGCCGACTAGAAGCGATTGGGTCTCAGTTCCGGATTGCGAACGTATGTCTGCATGATCATTAAATCTTTGTACGCCATATAAAATTAAATACGTACAGTATTAACGTGATTATGTCTCTACAGCTGTGTGCGATCCACCTTGTCAAAACGGTGGCAATTGTCTGCCGATGAATGTATGCCAATGTCCACAGGATTATCGAGGACCTCAGTGTCAATACTGTAAATGATGAGATATCTGTATAATTCGTAGTTCTATTTTATCTAACTGAAGATATATACTTGGAAATAAATTTTATTAAATAAGTCTTTTTTGTATATTATACATTCATAATTTATTTTTTTACAAATGTATCTAATCAACATGTACGGATGACAGCTGCCGATGTTTGCGATCCCGAGAAACTACACTTCAATGGTGGATATCACTGCAAAGATTCTGGCGACACATATTCTTGCACGCTATACTGCCCATCAGAAGTACAATTCGAATTTCCGGCTTCTTCGGTTTACACTTGCACTTACGATAAAGGAATCTTCGAACCGCAGCCTGTACCGCAATGCAAGATTGACAATAACATCAAGATCATCTCACATGGCACATTCCACAACACCTACGTACGGGAATCGAATCACTCCTGGTCGATGGAAAATGTTTATAACACCAAAACGAAACACTCTGAAGAGATTTATGAAAAGTACAGGGTTTACGACAGCAATGCGTCTTCACATCCAGTAAATAATACATTCCATTTACGATTTATTTAATATAAATAAAAATCGTACCGCAAATATAGGTGACTTGGGACAGCACGTATTTTTGTTAAATTTAATCATGTCTATCTATCAGTCTTTAAAGAAAGTTTAAATTTTAAATTTGCTTTAGTGATTCATGTATGGATTCTATGATTGAATTTAGCAAAAATACCTGTCTATATTTGCGGTAATAAATATTAAAATGGTAACTGCGAGAAAAGAGTCTGTGTTTACTAAATGAACAAAGTGAAAATGATATGATTAATTTATATTGCATGAAACATTACAGAGTCAATTTAATGATGATCGCATAACGGTCTTCGAAATAAATCGACCGAAACCAAAAACATGCTTCACCTGGGGAGGCGCGCACTACAAAACCTTCGATGGCAGAATCTACAGTTTCGACAGCGACTGCTCGCACACGCTTCTTCGGGATACTCAAGACAGCGTTTGTACAATCGTGGCATCGAATGGTCCGGGCTGCAGAACCGGATCGGATCGTCGTTATTGCTCCAAGATCGTGAAACTATTTGTGCACGACAAGAAGTACGTACTCACCAGCGACGACACAGGTATGCCGATATTTTCCAACGACAAACGATCGTTGCCGATACCGATATACTTGCCTGGATTGCGCGTGGACAAATCCGCGCATTTCATCCTCGTCTCTCTCGACTCGCTGGGCGTGAAGCTGAAGTGGGACGGCGCCTTGCTATTGCAGATTGAAGCTTCTGAGAGTATGTGGAATAAAACGGCTGGTCTATGCGGTACTATGAACGACGATCCGAACGATGAATTCTTAATGAAGAGTGGAAGTTACGCTCGAACTATACCGGCGTTGGCAAGTTCTTGGCAAGTCGGAAGTTTCGAAGGTAATGACAATTATATTTTCAGCTCGTACTTTATAAATGCCGAACTATAATTTTACATAAAATATCTGTTACGACGTATTTCATTTTGTAGAAACATGTGATGATTATCCAAGTATTCAACACGCGTGTGAATCGAAAAACGAGTTTGACGATGATGCGCTCCAGTTCTGCGTCCAATTGCTCGCCAACAATAAATTTAAGGCTTGCGCTAACACGATTAATCTTCTTGAACTGACTGATGCATGTTTGTGGAATTATTGCGCGTGCAAACACGAAGACAGAAGAAAATGCGCCTGCGACACGATGGACGTTTATATCCGCCAGTGCGCTCACGAAGGAATTGCGCGATCAACCGCGTGGAGAAACGATGACACTTGTCGTGAGTTAATAAAAAGATATTTTGTAAACCTACTTACTCATATAAAACATATACTTACAGATAATTGTCTTATTTAATTTTTAAATAAATTATTTGTAGCGATTAATTGCGACAGTGGACGAGTGTATATGTCATGCGGTCCAAAGATGGAAGCGTCTTGTACTTCCAGTATCGAAGCAACGAGCGAGAGTTCTGAGTGCGAGGAGGGCTGTTTCTGTCCGGCAGGTACCTTGGAGCACCAAGGGAAATGTGTCGCTCCGGAGGAGTGCCCGTGCAGGTTGAGAGGCAAATTGTTTCAGCCAGGTACAAGCGTGCCAAAGGGCTGCAACACTTGCACGTGCACTTCCGGTAAGTGGGTGTGCACGCAAATACGATGTGGTGCTAGATGCGCCGTCATGGGCGACCCGCATTATACTACGTTTGATGGCAAACACTACGATTTCATGGGAAAGTGTAAATACTTCTTAATGAAAGGAGAGAATTACACGATCGAAAGTGAAAATGTTCAATGTTCCGGAGCGATATCTCAGGTCAGAGAAATCCCTTTTACTGAGGAAATTTGATATATTATGCTCTTATTAATTATATTAATTATTATATATTTCCCCACACACAACTTAATCTTTCCTAATTAATTATTATTTATTTTAGAGTATGGGCTTTGCTTCTGCAGGCTCCCCATCGTGCGTCAAGGCTGTTACAGTTACTTTCAAGAATACTTCTATAAAATTAAAGCAGAATCGTCAGATTACGATAAATGGTAATGAGATAACGAAATTCCCGATGCTTTTTGATGGTGCCCGAATACGAATTGCGAGCAGCATATTCATGGTGATTCATCTGCCAAACGCTTTGGAAGTGTGGTGGGACGGTGTATCACGTGTTTACATTAACGCTCCTGCTGAATTTCACGGTAAACTTTTTGGTTTTATTTTCATTATTATAAAAAGAAG